CGGTACTTTCGGTTTTAATTGTTAGTTTCAATTGTTTCTTAGAACAAATAAAAAAACTAATTGCAATTAATCTAATTGCAATTAAAATCAATTCAATTGGAATCAATTGCTATTAAAGAATAGTAATTTTTAGTATTACAGTTGTCAGTGGGAAAAAATCGGAAACGAGTGGATATTTTTGTTTTTACGAACTGAGAATGCCCAGTAAATAAGTCTTGTTGAATCTAATTATTTACCAATAAACCTAATAATAATAAACACAACAATAAACATAATGGAATTGCATTATCATGTAATCTAGTTATATTCAAAGTTCTGTTAAAATTTGACTCTTCATAATGAAACGAATGAAACTAGATTGTCTTTGATCCGATGTTTATATTCGGCAGTCCTATGATTTCCAACCAATACTTCCATTTGTAGGTAAACTTGAAATAGTAAACATAACAATAATAAAAACCTCCTAGTGAATTGTTTTGATAACAGAATATCGATAATATGTCTGCTTACTAGAACAACACTATCTCAAAATAATCATTATCAACAATCATCAAAATATACTAACAGGCAATCTAAAGTAACCAAAGCAAAATTCGGCAAGACCTATGAATAAACTACTTAAATGAGTCTAATTACATGAGATATTTCGGCTATTTTATGATTTATAGGCAGAAAAATAACACATGCCGTGTTATTTTTGTGTATGGTGTAATGTAACATTCGGTTGATTTCCGCTTTTTCAACTGTCGCACCCCTTAATGCTGCAGCGACGCCTTTTTATCAATACTTAATTGTTCTTACTGTCAATATTTTTGTCCATTTCATTACAATTCATGCGAATAATTCACTAAAACATTTGGCCAAACATTGGTTTTGACATTTGATGTACTTCAACCCGATACGAATGTCAAAGGTACTCCAAAAATGGTAAAATGAGGACATTTCAGATGACGTTACGTATTTAGAATAATAAAGCATAGAATGATAGTTTCATATGAAACGAACTGTCACAAGTGAGGCAAAAATCAAATTCATGTAGGCGTAAGCAACTTGTATCTACGCTCGTCGGCACGCACACAAATATACAAATAATGATGCCATGGAATAACATTTCCCTCAAAAATGGAGAAATTGTATCTTGCTTATCGAGTTCTTAGGTTTTCGCGATTGTTATACATAGGAATGACAGTCAACCGTGACCATGGGACCTGTAAAGGGCCCGAAACGTCGGTTTGTTTGAAAAAACAAATGTACGCGATTTAAATCCGGAAAAATAGTTTCATTCCTATGTATCTTGCTTAACTCATCATTAAGTTAAAGATGCCTACAGATTTGCCCGACATTGTCGATCAGGTGCCTCCATTTGGTAATTCTTATGGAAATGGCATTTATATCTGAATACACGATGACGGACACGACTTTTCAAATAAATGCAATTCAAAAATGGAATCATATTCGAGGTGCTCATTACGAATATGACACTCATTTCTAAATCCAAGATGGCGGGCACGATTTTTCGAATAATGGCAAGTTGGGTAACGTTTTCAAGATATTTGGGGGTACTCATTACGAATATAGCATTTGTTTCTAAATCCAAGATGGCGGACACGAGTTTTCAAATAAATGCAATATGGGTATCATGTTCGAGGTATTTGGGGGTGCTCATTACAAATATGGCACTCATTTCTAAATCCAAGATGGCGGACACGATTTCTCAAATAATACCAAAATTCCATCCGAGTAAAATTTCAGCCGCTAATTTGCTCTTTGCGGGAGAGAGCGAATCGATGCATCCGCCAAGGCGGCAATAAATTCGAGCACTTACTACATTGACTTACAAATAAATGGACGACGGGTCTAATACAAAAACCACGAAAAAAATGTCCCAAGTCAACCTATTTAAACGTAGTGACATGTAAAGGAATATGAAAAAGCTAAAACGTTGAATTTAAATTGTAATGTCATCGCAGTACTGTCTAATTTTGCTTGCTACAATTGAAAGGCGCAAAAAAACACCATATTCAGTTTCTACTGGAAACTTACCAAAATGCACCATATGTAGCTTCTAGTGAAAAGTACTTGAACACAGGTGTAATGGAGTAGCCTTTATTATTTATAAATAAATTTTATATGCAAATGTTGAATTTTATACAATGCCATTCATTACGAGCTAGGGTGTCTGATTTTTTTCTTGAGTTTCGAGAATTCTCGATGGAATAATCTAATCTAGATGTACTCTAGTTACATTCAAAGTTATGTTAAATACCTAACTTTCAATGTCACTAGATTACATGATAATGCGATGCCATCCATTAGATTTATTGGTAAATAATTTTATATTTAATTTAGATTATACAAGACTCATGCCTAGTAGGCATTCTGAGTTCCTGAAAACAAAATTATCCACTCGTTTCCGATTTTTTGCCACTGACAACTCGTAACTACTAAAAATTCTTATTTTGTAAAGCCAGCAATACAAAGACCATGTCTAACGTTGCCGGGTGAAGGCTAATACCAAAGTGTAGACAGCCTATTTTCCTTGCCTTGTCTTGCCATCGTTCGGTGTCACTCGCCTAGCTGACCGAGTCAAGGCGAGCGCTAACGTGTATATAGCTCGTTTGACGTGGATTGTCACAACTCTGCGTCACTCGTGACTACTTTTCTCACTTCAGAGAAGTGTCGATTTTTCTGCACAAATCAAAAGCGCTCGGCCAATAGTAGTCAATTGACATTGTATAATGCATGTGAAACATGTTTATACTAACACTATCTCTTGTTACATCTCCTGTTATACCATATTTTAAGAAATAAACGTATGATAATAATATTATTATTCATAATATTACTACTTTCATTTATTTCCAAAATTAAATGGAAGTATTAAAGATTCACTTAAATCAGTCACTGATATTAATTTTATACCAATGCATAAATACAAAAAAGCTTACACTATTTGGAATCTGTTTGAAAATTTCTGTGTGAAAATATGAATCTTGGGATTGGAAATGTATAGGATTTATATTTCAAAGTTTTCTCTGTTCTAAATACTCTTAAATTACAAATATTATTTTTTTCTGTGCAAATACACTTTTCGTAATATTTGAGTATTTGTAAACGCAAAACAATAAATTAAAAATTTCTTGACATTCCCGGATATTCCCATATAACCTAAAATATTCCCAAATGGAATATTGATCTGCTTTAATTAAATGTTTGCATGTCGATAATGTCTTATCGATAGATTACGGTACGATACTAAAGAAATCCGCCATTTGTTCATTCAACTTTTGTTTAGGTATGCGCGTTCAATGTTCATTGCGTAGTTAGGGCAGCACCTTTCTTTTATTTTTTTCCATCCTCTAAGGCAGAGGTTCCCAGAGTTTTTTTCTCATAGACCACTTTCAAAACTTAGCTGGTTCCGGTGGACCCCCTGCAGCTACATTTCTACAATATTCCCAAAACTCGACAAAAAATGTGAAGATTAGATCTAACTATGGAAATTTGCAACGCAAATTGCTGAGTTCCAACCACAAATTAACAGTTTTCGAAAAAAAAAAGAGAATTTGATTGATTGTGCTGCGAGTGGATGTCAAAAAAGTAAAGACACGTACTGAATTATGGAATATGCAAGTTTTTACAAGTGACAATCGCTGAGCTTCTTAAAATATTATCTGCCTGCATTGATAGGTGAAGTCAAGCCAACATTCTAGTTCTTCACTATCGAAAGCAGATACATTTTCGTGGACCCCCGCTTACGAATTGCGAACCCCCATTTTTTTTGTCACGCCAACGTAAACCTCCGTCGAGTCTCCCGTGGACCCCTGGGGGTGGACCCCCAGGACCTGGACCACTTTGGGAACTAAGGCTCTAAGGTTTCCATAGTCTTATTTTATTACCTACTTTCCATAGTCTTATTTTATTACC